GCTGGGATTACAGGTGTGAGCCACTGCTCCTGGTCCAGAATGATCTTTCTAATGCTCTTATTATTTTAAAATACAGCCTCCTATTGCCTGCAAAATACAGTCCAAACTTCTTAGCATGAAATTGAAAACTCTCTGCAGTCTGTGATCAAAGCCCCTGGTCCAGCCTAGCTTCCAACCATCCAGGGCTCTACCTACTACCCCTGTTCTGTCTTCACTTTCTGAAAGTCTACTTACCCTTCAAGCCTACTTTAAGTGCACACTTTTCTGTTACACATTTTCCAAACTCCATAATGAATCCTGTCCTGCTGGGACTGCCACAGTGTTTGATCTGCACTTCTATCACAATGCCTCCTACGTGGTCTCCCCTGATGAACTGTGAGTCACTTGAAGTCATGGCTTGACCCTCATGTATGTTCATCATAGAGCTTTGCACTGTGGCTTACACACAGTAGTGCTAAAAGACCAACTGAGGCACATTGAAATATGAAAGAGTTTATCTGAGCAAACAGTGTTTCATAAATCAGGCAGCTCCAGACCGCAAGTGGTTCTGGGCTCTGCCAAACGGGCAAGAGGGAAAAGCTGTTATAGGGTGAATGAGAAAGCAAGGCAAAGAAAATATTTTATTGGTTAAAGTGGAGCAATGGCCTTATTTGGATCATTCCAGTGGAAAGCCCCTAGTAAGAGGTTAGTTGGAGGTTTCTGATTGGTTAAGCTTGTTTTGCTTACTGTTTACACTGAATTAGGTTTCACTTGCTTAAGTTGGAACCTAGAGCACTGGAGCTGCTTTAGCCTAATGACCTCCCAATTAATCATTTTAACAGTAACTACTCAACAAATTACATCGAATAGTATGTCTGCTAAAATATATATATATTTTTGCTATCATTAGGTGCCCAGCATTGTGCTATAGCAGACAAAGCAAGCATTGTCCTTGTCTCTGACCAAATAAAAAGTATCGTTGAGGCAACAAAGCAACAATTGAAGAACTATATAAAGGAGTCTATGATTAAACGCTATGTTTCCCATTTATATGTACACCTAGTTGCATACAAAAATCTTTAAGAGGCATTATATAAGCTTTAAATTTACAATTGGTTTCAGGAATGATAGAAATATAACAAATTATGTCTTGAAATAGATACATTTGCTAAAATTTAGCCCAAATTCATTGTAGAGTTGCTCTCAAAGTAATCTACTTTTAGATTCTGCAACAAATGAAAAACAGCAAGATAAACTTCTCTATGGTTAGTGGCATTTAAAGTCATCATCTCAAAAAAGCAAGCTCAATTGGACTTTCAGTGTCTTTTTCAGGCTCTTCCTAGTCTGTTAACATCCTAAGTTATTAAACTTTTAGAATGATTTTTTAAAAAATGCACAAAAAGACTCTGTGGAGTTCCCGAAAACAAACAAGTGGGCAGAGATTAGAGATGGAGAGGAACCTAGTGGCCGGATTAATGGAAGGTCAGGATGGAGTCAGATGAGAGAATCTCCAACTGAATGCCTGGAAGTTCATGGGCAAGTTGAGTACTGGCTAGAAAAGCTGAGAAACCTAGCTTTAGATCAACCCAGTGTCACTGGATACTGCTGACTCTGAGGCTTGTGCTCCAAGGCCCAGGTCCCTAATCTTGATTGACAAAGTCTAAGAAAAGACGTGGGTTAGTGAATAGACCACTGGATTAGAAGTTTGTGTTTTCTGATTTCCAAGAGCTTGTGAACAACAACAAAACAAAACAGAAAAGACTGATTTAGCTGCATGGGCGATGATGAAGCCTCACTCTGATTTGAACTCAAAATACAGGTGTTCTGCTATGGGCTGAATGTATGTACTCCTAAACCCCAAATTCGTATGTTGAAACCTAACCCCCATATGGTGGTATTGAAGTGAGGTCTTTGGGAGGTGACTAGGTCATGAAGGTGAAGCCCTCATAAATGGAATCAGTGTCCTTGTAAAAGAGACTTGAGGGCGCTCCCTGGTCCTTTCTGCAATGTGAGGACACCCAGAAGGTGAAGTCTATGAGGAATGAGCTCTCACCAGACACCAAATCAGTCGGTGCCTTGATCTTGGACTTCCAGCCTCCGAAACTGTTACCAAGACATTTCTTTTCTTTTTTTTTGAGAGGAAGTCTCACTCTGTTGCCCAAGCTGGAGTGCAGTGGTGGGATCTTGGTTCACTGCAGCCTCTACCTCCCAGGTGCAAGTGATTCTCCTGCCTCAGCGTCCCGAGTAGCTGGGACTACAGGTGCGTGCCACTATGCCCAGCTAATTTTTTTGTATTTTTTAGTAGAGACAGGGTTTCACTATGTTGGCCAGGCTGGTCTTGAACTCCTGACCTCATGATCCACCCACCTCAGCCTCCTAAAGTGCTGGGATTACAGGCATGAGCCACTATGCCCAGACATTTCTGTTCTTTATAAATCATCCAGTCTCAGGTATTTTATTATAGCAGCTTGAATGGACTAAGGTAATCAATCTTTCAGTGGCTTAATGCAAAAAAAAAAAAAATTCAGAAGTTATTTATCACTTCTTTCCCATTATAAGCATGAACTTTAAAAGGTACCTTATATTGGCATTTGAATAAGCAGACACTAACACACCTCAAGGATGTCAAAATATTTGTTGCATAATAGTTTCAGGTTTGTACAAATAACGTCTTCACCAGCACCACAGAAATTCTGTAGAAACTTCTTCTCACCCTGGGGTGTTATTTGCTGATACCAACTTCAATACGCTCACCTCACTGAGTATAGGCCAGAACACAGAGCCTTCCTTTAAAATGGTAAGGTTGGCATTGTCTAAGTTGTGCCTCTTTTCTCGAGTCCTGACACCACCAACCTCATGCTGCTCTCTAGCTGACCCTAACCCTCTTTTCCTTCTGTGATTCATAATTCTCTGAAGTATGTTCTTTAAAATGATTTCAGTGCCCCGATGCTTCAAAGTGATTTCTTTTCTTATTGCACCATCACATAGCCGAACTTCCTATCACCTAACTTGAGTAATTTCTGCTAGGTACTGCAGGTGAGACCACAACATGACCAATAAAATTAAAGAAATTCATGCAGGCCGGGGGTGGAGGCTCACACCTGTAATCCCAGCACTTTGGGAGGCTGAGTCGGGTAGATCACCTGAGGTGAGGAGTTTGAGACCAGCCTGGCCAACATTGTGAAACCTCATCTCTACTAAAAATACAAAAATTAGCCAGATGTGGTGGTGCATACCTGTAATTCCAGCTACTCAGGAGGTAGAGACAGGAGAATTGGTTGAACCCAGGAGGCAGAGGTTGCAGTGAGCCAAGATCACACCACTGCTCTCCAGCCTGGGCAAAAGAGTGAGGAAAAAAGAAAGAAAGAAAGAAATTCATGCTAAGGTGTGAACCGAAGGTCAAAATCCTTCCCATCCCTTCCTCTCCCGTACTCCCTTACACACAGGCAGACTGGCCACTCTCCTGAAGACACCCACCTGACATAAGTGAATGAATAAATAAATACCTGACATCCAGAAATGTGACTAGGTAATTAGTGGAAGGTGAGGCACAGTGAAGAGGCGGAAAATTCTGGGCAGTGGGTGGGGTGGGAAGCCTGGGTGCTGTCAATGACACCACCTGCACTAAAGCTTCTTCATATTGGTATCACCCAGTTGCAACTGTAGAGGGAGAATATTATGCAATCTCAAAGACACTGCTTCTGGGGTGGGCTTTAGGAGGTAGTAGATTAAAAGGTCTAAGACAACCTAAAGTGCAGGACTCTTTTATGTTAGGTGTCTGAAGTGCTCAGAACACTTTATAATTCTGATCCACTTGGATGTATTTAGTAAATTAAATCCCTTTATAATTAAAGCTAATAATGAATAGGCATTAAAGTTATCCAGTGCCTACACTGCATTAGTTTTTAATCTGCAGCTGGGCTATAGCAGTTGCTTCTTGATCTTTTCTATCTCTAATCTGTTTATAACTGCCTGTCATTTTTACTTTTCCTGGGAGGGGCAGAGCCTGTCTCTCTCTTCTCTTTTCCTCTGAGGTGTGCGTTGTGTTTATTTTTGCGTGAGTTGATGGATAGGTTCCGAGATTAAATCCCTTACTCTGGTTTCCTGACATTTCCACTTACTCTTGTGTTCATGGCCAGACTGAAAAGCATGTTTACTCGTGTTTTGAAGTTTCAAAAGTGGGCCTGGCGTTCTTGCTGACTGCTGCAGGTACTGCTGGACATGGCCGTGCTAAGGCCAGTGCGCCTGGGAGCCACGTGCCCAGGTCTGGGGCCCCTAGCCCACCCCGCATCAGGAGTGGGGCTGGATTCCGCCCTCAGGGAGGGCTGGGGGTCCTGGGACCAGAACTAGGCCTTCTCCCCCCACAAGCCTGAGCCTCGGTACCCCCACCCCTTGCACCAGCCGCGCCTCGTGGGATCGAGTCTGGGCTGCTCCCAGGGTACAGGGCTCGGTGAGGCGAGGAGCGCTGGCAGGTGAGGGGGAGTCTGGAGCCGGGCTGGAGGTGAGGGGTCGTTGAGGGGTGGCACAGAAAGGGTGGGAGCGGGGCTAGGGGTGACCCGGGAAGCTGGGAGTGGCACAGAGGGGGTGGGGGCGGGGCTGGGGTGAGCCGGGGAGCTGGGGGGTGACCCAGAAGGAGTGGGGGTGGAGCTGGGGGCGAGCAGGAGCATTGAGGGGTGGCACAGAGGGAGTGGGTGAGTTCAGAGCTAGGGGTGGGCCGGGAAGCTGGGGAATGGCACAGAAGAGTTGGTGACGGGGCTGGTGGTGAGTCGGGGGGTTACGGGGAGGCACACGGAGTTGGAGATGAATTAGGGCGCTGGAGGGGCACAGAGGGAGGGGGAACCCAGGTGGAGGCGAGTCCGGCCGCTGCACGCGGACGCCACCCGGATCCCGGGCCCTTGCGGGGTCTCGAGGAGCGGGGGGGGCCTGGGAGAGGGCGTGGCGCAGGAGGGGAAGTGGGCGGGGCCCCGCCGGGAACGGGGCGGGGCGGGGCGGGGCGGGGGATACCTTGGGCCGGAGCAGTGGGGCTGGCTCGTGGCCCGGCAGCGGCGCGATGAGTGGGGGCCGCGCGGCGCCGGGGGCCGCGGGCGACGCCGCGGCCAGGGGTCTGCGGGTAGACGGGCTGCCCCCGCTGCCCAAGAGCCTGAGCGGGCTGCTGCACTCGGCGTCGGGCGGCGGCGCGTCTGGGGGCTGGCGGCACCTGGAGCGGCTGTACGCGCAGAAGTCGCGCATCCAGGACGAGCTGAGCCGCGGGGGCGCGGGCGGCGGCGGGGCCCGGGCGGCAGGGCTGCCCGCCAAGCCTCCCAACCTGGACGCCGCGCTGGCGCTGCTCCGCAAGGAGATGGTGAGTGGGGCTCCGCGAGCGGGGGCTGTTCCCGGCCGGGCTCGCTGTCCCGGGAAAGTTCGCGGGCACCGCGCTCTGTCCGGAAGTCCCCGCGCTCACCCGCCCTTTCGGGCTCCTCGGCCCCAGGCGCGGTCTTCCCAACGAGCCTCCTTGTTCTCGCGCGCTTCGTACCCACGATTGGACCCCACGCGGGAGAGCCACGCGCAGAGGGCGGCTTTCATACGCCCGGCGCCTTCAGTCCCGCCCCGCTGACTCGGAAACCTGGGCGTCCGGAGGCGCTGTGAGGGGTTCGCCCCTGGCCTGGGGGCGGGGCGGCCTGGTCGCCCCTTCCCTAGTGAAACAGACCTCCCCGGGCGGGAAAGGCTTTCACTGCGCCCAGCGGGTTAACAGATGTGCGCGATTTCGTTTTCCTACCCCGAAGACGACACCTTTTTTCCGTCGCGAGTGTAGGCAGCAGATTGGGACAGCCCGACCCCCTCCCCGGCGCCCCAGGCCGCGCGTCCATGATCCGATTACTGCGTGATGGCCCCGGCGCGCAGATGGCTGTGAAAGCGGATGCTCACCGCGGGCGAGGGAGGCGGCCCTGCCCCTCAGCCCCGCGAAGCCGATTGCCCAAACCCACTTGAGAAAGGTGGGGGGTGGCTGTCCTCCCAGTCTGGGCGGTCCTCGTGAGTTCTTCGCCTTGTGCCTGAGCTCCAAACCATGGGCTCCTGTACTTCCTTGGGAAGTACATGAGGTGTTTGTGGGCCAGGACACATATGATTTAGGGTGACGCTAAAAATAGGACAAGGGCAGGGATTTAGGCAACAGGGAGTCTTTCCCCAGCTTTCTCGGCCAGGCGTAGGCCAGGCCAGAGGAAAACCAAAACTTCCCCTTTTCTACCATCTTGCTGGCTTCCATCACCTCCTCCCAAGCCTCTCGTTTTAAAAGCCTCCTTTTCCATTCACCTTGTCCACGTTGTGTCCTTTCCCTATAGGTAAATTATTAAGGAAATCTAACATTAGGAAAGCTGCCTTTTCCCAAGACTAAATTTGCCAAAAAAAGTTATAGGAATCTTTTAAATATGCATCTAGTGCATTTAAGATATTGTTCAGAAAAATTCAGTGTCTGCATACTTTTTTTAGGAGCATATCTGTTCTGAAAACTAAGACTTAATTGAATTCAGAAACCAGCCTTAACACTTTTAGTCAATGAGATATTGTCTTCATACTCTGTAGCTGGCAGTGAAGTGATTTCCAATTCTCATTGAAAGGATTTTCTAAGCTTCTTACAGAACCACTTACATTCCAAGCCAAAGTTTTTTAATTTATTAAAAAACATTCACTGACACAAGCATCGCACAACTGGTGAACTGCATTTTAATATGATTAATCTACACATAGTGTGTTACAGTCCGAACCTGGACATAGCAGAAACACGGGGTGAAGTAGGAAGACCATGTTTGATTATTTAAGTTCTGTACTTGAGCAAGAGACAGAAAAACTTCAGGGCCACTCCTGTTGTGAAGCTGTGGTTTATAAATATGCTCTGAGTCTTGCTATGGTGGCTTGGAGTCAACGTGCCATTCCCAAAAGTATTTTTCCAGGTCCCTCCTGGTGTGACTGAAGTAAAACCACATCCTTGTAATTATGCCTTGGACCAGAGCTCTCTGTAAGCCTATTTGAAGCACAAGAAAAATAAACAGCCATCTTTGGTCTGCCTGGTATTTAGCTGAGATAAAGATAAGGTATGGCTACAGGCCTTGACAAGTGAGAAATGTCACAAGGCCTTTAAAGTTGTTCAGAGAGTCTTTTGGCTTTTTAATTGATTTACTGACTTGGGGCAATGGGGTCTGAGTGGACAACTCAAGCTAAGACCCCCTCTGGGGATGCCTTGCAAAATAAGAACTGGGAGTTCATTCTTGAGATGTCTGCAAAATGGTTTGTGTTGATCTGTTTAATTTGAAGTCCTCAGGTCAAATCTGTGGGCAGGGGACATAACTAGGTCATGGCAGAATGTGATGAATGCCTTAAAAAAATTTTTTTTTTAAAGCAAGCATAGAAAGAGGGACAACTTCCAGCAGGGACAGGGAGCAGGGTGGTGTGGAAGACTTCAGAAGGCAACAGAATTTTAGCAAGGGAAAAAGGCACCAGGAAGGTAGCTGCAGAGCTGGAACTGGGAGCACTCCAGTTTGAAACGTGAGCAAGAAGAGGCTGGGCAGGTGAACTGAGTGGATTTCCACAAGCCTGAATAGGAAGGATGGGCTTTCAGCCAGAGAATGGTGCAGTCCCAGTTGGACTTTGAAGAAATGAATTCTACAGCAGAGTGTAAGAGGGAGAGCCGGACTTTGGAGGCCCATCCGGAAGATAAGATGTGTTCATGGGAGAGGTGAAGGAGGCCCCAGCAGGGTAAGGACTTGTCAGTGTGAAACAAAACTCCTGTGGAAGACACTTTTTTCTGAAGCAAACACTGCAGGAATTACTGAGTCAGGGAAGATGATGAAAAAGGGATCAAAGACAACTTAAGCCTTTTTTTTGTTTTTTGAGGAGAAATTTCCCTCTTGTTGCTGAAGCTGGCCAAATGGTGTGATCTTGGCTCACTGCAACCTCCTCCCGGGTTCAAGCGATTCCCCTGCCTCAGCCTCGGCAGGAGGTTGGTATTACAGGCATGTGCCCTAGTCACCATGCCCGGCTAGTTTTTTATATTTTTAGTAGACACAGGGTTTTACCATGTTGGCCAGGCTGGTCTTGAACTCCTGACGTTCAGGCGATCCACCCACCTCAGCCTCTCAAGTGCTGGTATTACAGGCATGAGTCGCTACACCTGGCCAACATAAGGTTTTTTATGGAAAATGTAGCCAAGCAAAAAAAAAAAAAAAAAAAAATTAAAAATTACAGTGCTAGCACGTAGAAATGAGCCCCACTTTACTGTAAGTGGTTGATTATTAAGCTTCAAAATCTTACTTACTGACAGATGGTGGTATCCTACACAGTCACTGAAGTCATTTTGGGATATCCTCCGTGTGGGTACAATGTAAGAGCTTTCCGTATAGTAGCTTATTTAATGTGTACAATTTCTCTATGAGATAGGTACTCAGAGTCTATTTTGTATTAAAGAATGGGATGCTGAGAGTTGGCTGCCCTAAGGTCACAGACCCTACCAGATCTGTTTGGCTCCAAAGCCTTATTTAACCATTGCAGTCTGGTGTCTGTGCACATGTATGCACTCACACACACACATGACCACGTATATTTTGGTTTGCTCTTAGGGCCACACATTGCAAACATTTTCCCAGTCAAGATATATTATAATGTCTTCAGTGACTGTGTAGTATACCCCTGGATGGCAATATGTAAGATTTTGAAGCTTAATAATCACTGGTAAAGTGGGGTTCATGGTAGCACGTGGGGAGTTAGGAGTGGCTGCTTTAGGGAGGAAGGTAATTTGTCATCACATCAGCTGAAGAGCATGTTAAACATTTCAGAATATGGAGCGGAGGCTGGAAGAGAGATTTGGGTCTGGAGATAGCGGGTGGAAGAGATGGTTGGAGCTGAGGGAGAATGCAGTCTCAATGGGAGGAGAGACCATTAGGACGCGGGGGGTGGAGCCTGGGAGAGCTGGAGGCCCGTGCTGAGAGGGCTGTGTCCCAAGACTGCTAATGCGCTCCACTGCTTGGAGGGTTGTGGTTTCAGCTCCAAGTTTCAACGTCTCCCGTTCTAGTAACTCCTGTGAAATTCTGCAGGAAGTCCTCGTCCCCTCTCCTTTTTGGTCCTTTTTTTTAAAAAAAAAAAAAAAAAAAAAAAAGACCAAAAAAGCCCTTTAAAAAAAGTTGATGATTATTATTTTTATATCAGAGAGTATTTTTAGATCATGTTTAGGAGATGATTACTGGTGTATGTCAGATAGAAGGTACTATGGACGGTTTAAGGGTGAATGGGAAATATCTAGATGTTAAGGGGCTTATCACAGCTGGTAGATATGGGGATCTTTACAGAAAAAGAATAGTTTTCATTTTTCATGACCAAAGACTCTATGTTAGTAATAGAAACAGTCTGAACTAGCTTTTGCAAAAGGAGAATCTTATAGGCTGGATGTATACAGAGATGGACCAGAACTAGGGCTTATGGGAGACCCAGGAAGTCCACTGAGGTCTTCACCTCCCCTCCTCCACTGTTTGTTTTTTTCCTCCATCTTGGGACCTGGCTGCTAACAGTGATCACACTCCATTTTGGCCATGCTGCTTCGTTGCAGCTTGCAAATACCATGGAAGGACGCCAGTTGGCCTAGCTTGGGTGGCCTGGCCAGCCTGGGCCAGCCAATGGTGACAAGGACAGGATTTTACTTTAATAAGGTGGTGTAAGCATGTGGAAGGAGTCAGACACGATATTCTCTAAAGAAAGGACAGTTTGCAGAAATGGAGCAGGGGGCTAAAGTACTAGATGTCTACTGCAGAACTCCTTCTATTTAAAAATACTTTACCCTCAACGATCGCACAATTTGAAAGGTTTTTTATCTGCTAAGCTGATGGCTAGCTTTGCTAATTAGATCTTGGTTGGCCTTTAAACTATTTGCATGTGGTTAAAGGATGTCCTTGACCGGGTGTCAGCAGGGACCTCTGGCACACACCAGTCCTTGCATAGATTTCTACATAGACCTCCCTTCCCAGCACCTGTGTCAGGTTAGACCATTTACCTTATAGGTAACTACAAGTCACACTAGAGTGTGGAGACACAAAGACTGTCAGCCCTGGGGGCAGGAGATCTTTCGAGGGGCAGCATCCTTGGGGATTCTTGCGTTCGGCTTCTCCTGTGATCAGCAGCAAGATCTAGCAGCTTTGATTTGGAATCTCTTTGCCTCATTTTTTTTCCCACCTGTGCAGAGTGGGAAGTCATCCACACAGAACTTTTGAATTCCCAAATTTCAATGCTGTGTAAAGAATTGAACCTAAGGGGAAAAAAAGTTGAATTTCTGAAACCAGTAACAATTAGCTTTCCCACTAAATGCCTAATGAGCTTGTCCAG